GCGTTAGCTGGCGGTTCCACGCGGCCACACTGCGCGCCCATCCGGATGGGGGGGAGTAAAGAAACGAATTGCCAATTGTTGCGGAGAATCCCTTGCGTGCGATTCTGTTATTTTCGGTTTTATGGACGCGGTGGAAAGGAGGTGCGCTAATAACACGGGGATAGACTAGGTCGAGAGGACCAGCGAGCGTGGAGGTTGCGGAGGAGAGAGGACGGGGAGGGAGCGTGGCCGAGGGGGAAAACGCTGGGGTGCCCGAGGTGGATGGCGTGGGCGGGGACGGGGCAGGTGTGGCTGTACTGGACACTGGGTTTCTCAGCTTATTCGTACATTGGTTTGGAAAATTTGTTTTCATAAATTGCAATATCTCGAAAAGTTAGACTGTTTTTAATGAATTCGAATAAAGACCATTCCAGGTTATTAGACTTATAATTAGACAATTAAAGATTAGTTAATTAATAAGAGACACAAGTCTATGCATTGTAATATCTTTGGCTGGAATTCGTCTCAGGTAAATTTGTTATTGTACTAATTCTAAGTTCTAATAGTGGCAAAGTCACGGCAAATGTTGGATGCGCATACTTATTTGTTGAATACGTTGTGTAAATATTGAGTAATATACCATTGTAATTCGTTTCAATGCCTAAAACATTAGATTGTTTGTATACTTGCTTGGATAGTCTAATTGATTTTTAATATTTTTTTAAGTAAAGACTATTTACTAATAGGCCTAGTATAGGAAATAATATAGGTTTTATCTGCTGCAGTGTCTTTGTGTTGAAGCTGTGAAGTTTCCGTTTAGACACGGAGCTCGAAAAAACGTCGAAAAAATATTAAAAGGCATATTATATGGCGGAGGTGCGAATATTGCTTTTGGATTCTGTCTCCAGTAGCGGCCATGGCAGCGAATATTAGGGCGCACCCTATGAGCCACGGACGACACGCCTAGCAAATCTGAAGATGCGCGTATATTTTAACAGAGCGTTTGTGGTTATTAACGCCATTGGACAGAGGGCAAATAACAAATACCATTAAGTGTGTAAATCAAAGGGGATAGTCCAGGTATATAACCAACATATATATATATATATATATATATATATATATATATATATATATATATATACGTACTATAAGAAGTGCAATCTGTGCACGGTTTCTTGAGCTCTGGAATCCCAACCGCGCCACCAACCATATTAATTTGAATTAGGAATACAAGTAGAGAACGATTTAGGCAAGTTTTTTTACAAGAAAATATTCGCTTTCGTGTAGTAAAATCTCTTTCCAAAATATATCTAAAGCTAATATTATTAAATAAGTGAAGTGAATAAAGAATTTGTGAGCTTCTTTCTTTCGCCGCGCACTGTTGCAATGGGCCGGTCACGGCCTCATGAAGCCGGCCGTGCGCCGTGCGGCGAAGCCTTCGCGGAATCCGCCCGACGTGTTTGGTCCGCGGGGCGGCGGGCGTTGATGGGGCCGGCGGCGGCGGCATTGGGGTGCGCTGCAGCAACAGGAGCAGCCGTCACCGCCGCCGCAACCGCCCATCTGCGGCCGCCGCCGAGAAACCTTTTCCTCGTACCTCGCCCCGCCCCCTCCCGCGCTACAGATCTACTTTGTGCCCACACTGTGGCGTTCGGGGCTGTCGTAACTCTGTCATTAAGAATCCTCCGCTGTGCCCGATGTAATAAAACCCTTTTCCCCTGTTTTGCCGAGGTTCGTTGCGGGTTATTAACATTATTAGGAGTATTTTTACTGGTCACACACAAGCAAATAAATAATAAAAATATATGTTGCTTGGTAATAATCCACCAAGGAGAAGATAGGAGGTGTTTTTGTGTCAGAAAATATGTACTCCGTGCTGCTGGCGAGGACATTATTCCGGACATTCCTGCCCGGGCGTCTCTAACTGCATGAGG